ATCATTAACCACAGTTGTTCTAAGGAGTTACACTTCTTTTTCTTCTGCTCGGGAACAATGCTTACAGTACTTAGCGCAAGGTCTTCTGGAAAGTGCGTCGGCATTTCGATGGATTGCCCCAGCTCGATGTTCTGTGTCGAAGTCAAATTCTTGTAATCGTTCAATCCATCTAGCTACCTGCCCTTCAGGATTCTTAAATTGCAACAGCCATTTCAAAGCAGCATGGTCTGTTCTTAACAAGAACTTTCTTCCATAGAGATACTTGTAGAACTGTTCCACTGCTTTAACTACTGCTAGTAATTCTCGTCTGGTTACACAATATTTCCTTTCCGGTTTTGACAAGGTCTTACTAAAATAATCAATGACTTTTTCTTGACCATCCTGGATCTGAGACAGAACAGCGCCTAACGCAACATTGCTAGCGTCGGTATCCAATATAAAGTTTCCGTTGCCAAGGGGGTAGCTAAGTATGGGCGCACTAGTCAGGGCCTTCTTCAGTGTTCGGAATGCCTCGTCAGAATCTGAGTCCCAACAGAAACGCCTCTCGCCTTCGGTACGTCTGGTTAATGGTTTAGCGATGGTGGCGAAACCCTGTACATAACGGCGATAGTATGTGCATAGCTTCCAAATTCCCCAAAAAGCTTCTGAGTTCATGTTTGTCTTGGGCCACTCTTCCACTGTCTTGGTCTTCTGTGGATCTACCGCAACTCCCTGGGAGGAGACCACATGGCCCAAGTAGTGTACCTTTTCTTGACACAGATGACATTTCTTGGGGCTAAGTTTCAAACCAGAGCTCGCAAGTCGCTTGAAAACTTCTTCCAAATTCTTCAGATGATCGTCGAAGGATTTCCCCACCACTATAATGTCATCCAGGTACACTAAACAGGTGGTCCAGGATAGTCCCTTTAACACAGACTCCATTAGTCTTTCAAAGGTAGCTGGCGCGTTGCACAATCCAAAAGGCATGACGGTAAATTGTCACAGTCCGGAGCCCACCGAGAACGCTGTCTTCTGTCTGTCTTTCGGCGCCATGTCGACTTGCCAATATCCACTCTTCAGATCTAAGGTAGAGAATATTGTCGATCCTGCCAGTGTGTCTAGAGTGTCGTCTATCCTCGGCAGGGGATAGCTATCCTTCTTGGTAAGATTATTGAGCTGCCGATAATCAACACAGAACCTGGTGATACCGTCTTTCTTCTTTACTAGTACTACCGGCGATGTCCACGGGCTATTAGATAGTTCGATAACACCCTCTTCTTTCATTACTCGAAAGATCTTGTCAGCTTCTTCACGTTTGGCGAGTCTTCTCGGATTTTGTTTGATTGGTCGTGCATCTCCGGTATCAATTTTATGTTGTACTAAATTGGTACGACCTCTCTCTCCTGCTTCTCCTTTATCAAACACATCTTGATACTTGATTATCAGGTTTCTCAATTTTCTACTATTTTCGGGAGATAATCCCTTAACGTTTACTAACTCCTTCACCATTTTGTCCGGAATTTTTCCACGCTTCGAATGACTGAGGAGACCGAACAACGGTACCTTAAAAGGGTTCCCTTCTTCAAGGATACAGAATATTAATTCGTGTTCATTACTCTTACCGGTACAGTTTTCTTCGCTCGCAGCAGGGCTTTTCCAATAGCGATCCCTCGTCCTATTTCACTGTCATGGTTCCTTGGCTCCAACAGAATAATACTCCCATTATTCATTTTACCTTCCAGGCAACCATCCAAAAATATCTCACAGCGCTCAGGGATCGAAACATCTTCTGCTACCACCACGCGAACCGTCTCCTTACATTTTCGATGTAGAACCACTTCTTCATTTATTTTCAAAATTCCCTGTTTGAAGTTTAGTTCAAAACCTCTAGTGGTCATAATGTCCATTCCGAGAATAAGTTCATCTTCGATATCTGCTACTAACACTGGATGTTCAAAACTGGTGCCCCAATAACAAAATTAAGGTGTACTTCTCCATGGACAGCAGCGGAGTCCCCCGTAGCAGTACGTAGTCGCCATTGTGTTGTTTTAACCTTCTTCGATGTTTTAAGAATATCCGGTCTGATGATAGTTTTCATCGCACCTGTATCCAACAGCATGGTCTGGAACTCTCCATCAACAAAACCATCCACAAAAATGCTGTTGAATTTGAGTTGTAGCGAGGCGACTTGAGCAGTTTTCGTTGGGGCATGTTGGGTACAGGTCGACGTGTGCCCCTTCATTTCGACCCTTAGTAGTTTTCCGACCTCGACGAAGCCGGTTCTTCGTTCTTCTCCTTACAACGGCTTCGCATGTGTCCTACCTGTCCGCAGTTCCAGCAACGAATCGGTCCCTTCTTGCCCATGTACTGGTCCATTACTTTCCGAACAATCCTTTCCACGGATTCGTCGGAACATTCGTCGATGACCCGTACTCTTCCTAAAGACCGAAAACTTTGTTTCGCGGCCTCGAATTCTAGGGCACGTGCTAAAGCATCCACCAAGTGCTTTGGGTGGGCTAGGAGAAGCGCTTGTCTTGTATCGTTGTCACGTAAACCGTCGGAGAATGCCTGTACTGCCAACCGCTCCATAACATTCTCGGGCGTAACAGGGTACGCAAGGCGAACGAGGCAGGCTACATCGGCTTCAAACTCCTGCAGCGACTCATTTGCCTTTTGAATGCGATTTTTTAGTTGGGAATGATAGACATGTTCCAAATGAGCTTAGCCGTACCTCGTTTCTAAATGTCGTACCAATTGCTGATAATCTCCCTGTTCCGATGGTGACAGTGTCTGCAGGATATCAGTCGCATCTCCTAGTGCGATAGTCAAAGCGGTAGCTTTTTCAACGATTGTCCAGCCGTTCGCTCTCGCAGCGGCTTCAAATTGGCAAAAATAATTGGCCCAAGCGGTTTTTCCGTCAAACTGTGGAGGTTTCATAACTGATTTTGAGGCATACCTATTTTCGACTAGTTTCGGTCCCTCCGATGTTTCTTGACGTTTTGGTGAATTTGCCTTTGCTATTTCATCCCGTAAAATTTCGATTTTTCTGTTTACATCGTCCTCAATGTGTGTTATTTTGTCTTGTAGTTCTGTAGAATTTTCTATAGTCTTTTCTTCTAATTCCCTGGAAGATTCCTGGATTTCTGTTATCTTTTCTTCTAAATTAAGTATTTTATTATTAAAGCTGGTCTCTCTCTAATTTTTGGGAATTTTCTGTGGATTTTTAATTTTGTTGGGGATGTTTAATTTTTGGGGATTTTATCACTGATTTTATCTTCTAAATTAACTTCCAAGTCAATTATTTTACTATTTAAACTATTCAAATTGTCGTTTAAATTGTCTTGTAATTTTTTCAATGACGAGTCTAGGTCACCTTCCAGCTCGAAGTAAAATGTGTCAGGATCCTCACCTTCCTCAATCAAGACGTCTCTCAGTCTGGCTTGCAAAATGCTTTTCTTTCCATCTGTTTCGCATTCCCTCTCTTCCAGTACGCATTTTAATTCCGACACTTTCAAGTCTTTCAACATTTTATTCGGAGCCTTCTTTTTATTTCTCTAGTCTATCACACACGCCACACTTGACACCAATTGTTACGTTTTTCGTCAGTTCCGTGTGGATAGAAAGTCACAATTTATTTAACACTAATTAACAAAAACAATAACGATAAAAGACTTAAAGAACTATTTACAAACGATTTATAACAAAGAATTTATTTTTGAATTTTAGCGCGTCAACTGCACTCGTCTATTTATAACTGCCCTCTCTAGGCCACAGCCGCCGGCTTTTATACCTACAGCTAAAGATTTCTAGAATAGTCCATAGATCGTTAGGTGCATAGAGAAGGTTTCGATTGATCTCGTATGTACTACTCCATTCCAGTGGAACTCGATTCTTCTCGAATCTTTGAATGAATCATTACGGTGTCTATTCTTTAATGCGATGTTAAGGTCATCCGAGGGCGGGCCATATAGTTAGGTTAGGTCGAGTCCACACCGGTCCGCAACAGTATAAACAACATGTTGTAGGTAATTTTATAAGCAATAATTTTGATAACTAGCAACTTTTTAATAAAGTTAACCGTATCAAAAATATTTAGCAGAAAAAAAAGGAAAAATAAAAAATTATGTAAAATATTGGAAAGTAAAACTTCATTCAGAACCTCGCAATTAGTGGAAAAAATTAGTGGTTTCAATTAGCGTAGAAGTGTATTCCTTTAATTTCAATGTAAGCATTCAGAACGTCAGAATAGGTAAGTGATAGGCATTTTCAATTAGCAGAAAAAGTTATAAACTTTCAACTTTTCCACTAATTATACTTCAAAATTTGTGAGAAATGTCATTTTGACCTTTGATTTTCTTCCCGCAAGCGAATATGTGGTTAGAAATTAAAAGTTGATTGTTTTATAAGCTAAATATTAAGCTTTCTCTATGGATACAACTGACTAACGCTAGCTGTTGCTAAGATATCCTACTAATTATAATTGTGTTTTTTAAACATTGTGAATAATTGTAAACTGAGAAGTATAAAGTGTAATTGAGAACACTAATTTATTCCACTAATTGCGAGGTCCAGAATGAAGCTTTACACTTTATACTTTTTAATTTACGATAATTCCCAATGTCTAAAAAACACAATTAAGATTAATAGAATATCCTAACAACAGCTTGCGGTAGTCAGTTGTATCCATAGAGAAAGCCTAATATACATATAGCTTATAAAACAATCAACTTTTGATTTGATGAATTTCTCTTGACGGATGTTAATTAAAGACCATAATGACATTCCTCGCAAATTTTGAAATATAATTAGTTGAAAAGTTCAAAGTTTGTTAACTTTTTCTACTAATTGAAAATGACTACCACTAATTTTCACGTTCTGAATGCTTACATTGAAATTAGAGGAACAACCTTATACGCTAATTGAAACCACTAATTTATTTCACTAATTGTGATGTTCTGAATGAAGCTTTATACCCATTTTCCACTGATTTTCTGATTTGTAAAAGAAACGTTTTTACTTACGATCATATTCCTCAGCAAATCCAGTCAAAAGTACGTCAGTAATACTACCATTTTTTACAGGCAATTTATTTGTATAAGCACTAATCACAGTAACGTCGTGCCCCGCATCTGCCAATCCTCTCATCAGACGATTATACAGGATGTTAAGACTTTTCCCCGCCAACGGAAATACTCCCAAAATTCTTGCAGAATGACAGCATTGTACGAAGAACACCAAAATAAATGATAAAATGTCTAGACGCATCTCTGGAGATAGCAAATTCAAAATTCAAACTGAATAACTTAATAATTTTTATATTGTTTTAGATTGCTAGTCGAGTATTAGGTGGAATTTTTTAAGTTAATATTAAAGATGGTTATCAAAAAATTGTTTAATAATGCTAGATTTAAAATACGGGATTTTGCAACAGTGCTTCGGGCATCTGTAGGTCTTATAAAAAAATAAATTTGGTTCAAGTAGAATAATTTCTATTTCAGGAATATATTTTAACTTCTAAGGCTGGTTCAAAAAAATGTGAGTAGATTGGAATTATATTTTTTAAATGGAGCACCTTATATACAGGGTGGTCCGAACTGTATTCCGGAAACTTCGACAGCATATTCTGCAGATGAAAATAAGTAAAAAACTTTGTATAAATGCCCTAAAATGCTTTTCGGAGATACAGGATATATACACATAATTTTTACGTATATATTTATGAATAAGGAAATACACTTTTTATAGGGTGTCGCAACTCTCTCTGTTTAATTACTATTAATAACTGATTTTGGAGACGATATTACGTTCATAAATGTTTTTGGTTAGTTATATGTCAAATTAAAGCTATTTTTATTCTGTGCGTGATGTTACAAAGGTGTATATGAAAAAGTTGCCGCAAATAAGGGTTGCCACGATTCAATGTCATTCTTAATACTTTATACGGGCTCGGCAACAGTGCGTCGGACCTCTCTAGCTCCTATATTAAAATAATACCAGGGAAATTTACATTTGGAAGTACGTATGAAGAAATTAGTACCTGACCAAAGACATTATAAAGATAGACGGAACATCTCATTCATAAATACTTGTTGGTAGTGTATCAAACATTCCAATATGTCAAACAAGGACAGCGAAGTCTAAAATTTCCGACCCCGGCAACTAGGCGCATTTCGATTGTTCTAATGGCCAGTGGCCTCTCGTTTTTTGAAACGCATTTAATTAGTAAAGTACAAGTAAATTAATTAGTAAAATTTATACTCCATATTAATATACTACATTAACACTTTTTCGTCAGATGAGTTTTGTTATAAGGTCTAATATAATAATATAACTAATATCCCACATATACCTATGTTGAAACGTTAGTAGGTGGTTTTCGAAAATCGTTCCAACGTCGATTTTCAATTTAAACTTCCAGTTACTTCTATATAAACTTTCAGTTACTTTTGAATATTTACAGGGTGACTCAGGCTTCCGAAACAGTTCTATATTAGGTTTGTGGTTGGTGACTTTTCTTTCAATTTTTTTTCAGAATATGGAGGCAATGGTAAAGCACATTTTAGACATTTCTGTAAACATAGGTGGCCGGAACATATTTTAAAACTAAAGTTGTAGATTTGCTATTAAATTTCCATTCCAGAAATACCTTGAGGTTGCCACCTGTACTTTTTTGGAATAACTTATAAATAAGTCATTTTTATTTTCGTATTTTCCCTGAGAAAATTACCTACAGCAAACAGAAATATTCTTTTCGTCCAAATTTAATTAGAGATGTTATAAAACTTATAAATAAATTTTTCTTGTTTAGAATAGGCAACATTATTTAGAACTTCCCGTTTAATCTGAAATGATAGTTTAGGTTTTAGTTTTACCTTTTTTGGTCTTAAAAAGAACTTCAAAATTAGTAATTAGTAACGATTTAGTTAGTTCGCAATCGATAGCTTCCTGTGAAGTACTGTGTAATAGTTGTTTAATCTTTTATTATTAATAACTTCCTATACCTAAAATCAATATTTAATGAGAATTGTTTTTTTGAAAATATAAGACAAGATTTGACTTTCGGTCTTCTTCTTGTATTATGATGGCTCTGATACGAGGCAATTACCTTTTAGTCTCTCAATAGAAGGCATTTATCATTAAAAGTATCAAATCTGTGTGCTACAGTATGGAATTTCTGTCGCATAATAATGAATTGTTACGTTTGCTTCATCTACGTTACCGTAGATGGAGCTCAAGGCTTGGTAGGGTTTGTATAAATAAACAAAATACAAGAAGCAAAAAATTATTAAGCCCTAACCCCTACATATATGCTTATTATCTGCATTAAGTTCATCAGACTGAAGGGAACAGCCATTCGACGATCGGTTTCGGAGATTTATCTCCATCGTCAGGCCGACTTTGCTGTAACCCTCAATCCGACAAACGAAAAGCAAAAAATAGCATTTGAGTACAAAACGTACTACTATGGCGAGTGCTAGATGGCGAGAGCAGCTAGTAGTAATAGGTAAAAAGCTTTTTTGGAGGCCTGGATCACTCTGTATATAGGTATGTATAAAACTAGTAGCCTAAGAATTTTTTACAGTTCGTCCCATTCTAAAAAAAAGTAAACACACCGTACAAATAACTCTAGGAAGAGGTATTTGTACAGTGGTAAAAAATTGTCTAAACAAGGCCGAAGGGGCAGATATAATAAAGCAATAAAATGTAAAAAAGGTCGGGTAACACCTTTGTTTATTTGTTGAGCAAAATTCCTTTAGAATATCGTATATAATGACCAAAAATGACGCAATTCTAAGAAAAAAATGTCACTTTCTGGCTTATAATAAAATTTCAAATGCAACGTTTATATTCAAATTTGTTATGATCTACAACAGTTAGGTAGTAGTAATTGAGACGAATTATAATTCAATTACCGGCTACTACGTTCTTATTTTAATAGATTAATTACAAATATAATTAGAAATTATTTTGATTGTGAGAGGCTCCCTTATGGGACGCCTATGTACAATGACGACGGAAATATAAAAATGTGAAAACAATACCCACCTGTGAAAAGACAAATTCGGGTAATTTGAGCTTATTTTTCCACACACTTGACACTGTCGTACTATACTGAATTCGCAGATTCAAAAGTACGTTAAACAAAAACAAAAACCACCGAAAAACACTGAAAAGTTCACTTTCGTCTTGATTCCGACTTCAAACACACCGCAAGCTAAACATAGTACGCTATAACGGACCAAGGGCCGTCGCGAGGGGTGGTGGGACGGACGGCTCATTTCATTGGAAGACTAGCAGCGACGTTGCCAATAGTTCTAGACGTTTCAGCACATTAAACAGTAAACATGTCCTTTAATAGTAACGCATATATCCTCTGGTTAATAACATATTATTACGCATGCTTCTTTAAAAATAAACTCTTAATTTAATTAAGAAATTGAGATTTATTGATATCCGGTAAAGGTTTTAAAGTCACCTTTAATGCAAATCAAACTGAGTAGATAGGCGCAAATTTGAGATGTGGCAATGTTGCCTTCTCTATCTCAGTTGGTTTTTACAGTACGTAGTCAACCTCCGATTGTTTGATCGGGTTAAAATGTCTAATGTGATATCTGTTCTTACTAAATCTATGTACCTGACTTTTCTCCTTCCTTCGAATTTAATGAAAATACCATGCTATCGAAAAAAAAACGACGTCAAAGACGGCTGAGGAATGACAATCGATGGTAATTTATGCGTCTGGAAAGGTTCTATCGTTTTTAAAGTTTCTTATTAGTGTTAGTGTTAATTTTAACAAGTTTTATTATTTTTTTAGCAAATATGTATATGATGTCTATACAGGGTGGTCCGAACTGTATTCCGGAAACTTCGGCAGCATATTCTGCAGATAAAAATAAGTAAAAAAGTTCGTATAAATATATGTCCTAAAATGTTTACTTTCAGAGATACAGGGTGTAGAACTTTCATTTTTATTTCGATTTTTTCTAAATAATTTCTGAAGTAACGTCAATATTTAAATGAAAATTGGTGTCTGGGAGTTTTTTGACATGAGAAGTTTGATTTTGGTGTCAATATGACTTCTACTAGTAGAGGGCGCCACCTACATGTATTTTAACTATTTTGAAGCGTAATAACTTTTTGTCCGTACCTGATTACAGTTGAGGGTTGGAACCTTTGGTGTTACACAGCAAAATAAAAAACTCGATTACACAACAAAATAAAAAGATTATAAACTCAAAAGTTTATAATCATCTGCTGATGATGCTAACATGGTTAGCGAAACGCGCGTCCAGTGTAAAAGTAAAAGTGTTTTGGTGTATTGTGGTGATTTAGTGTTTTTATTTTGCTCCGTACCTGTATAAAAGTACCGAGCGAAAAAATATACATCTCTATGACTTTCTACGTAAAAAATATCTCTTTGTAAAAATCGCTACGAGCAACCGTTCTTAAGATATTTAGAATGGAAATAGACAATACTATTTATTTTTTTAAATTAATCATAAATTTTTCTGCAAAAAATGATGGTAAAACAGTTTCTATTGAAGTTTTGGCACAAAAACATTTCAAATTTATGATGTCAGTCTAATAACTAGTCACTTTAGTCTAATAACTAGTCACACTTTAGTCAACATGTTTAATTTATGTCAATGATGACAGGTATTGATAATTTCGATTCCAAATGTTTCGAAAACCATTACTCGTAGCGATTTCTACCAAGAAACCTTTTTCACTTAAAAAATGTCGTGAATGTATTTTTTTTACTCAGTAGTTTTATGCAGGTACGAACGAAAAGTTATTACTCTTCAAACCAGTTAAAAAATATATAGGTGGCGCTCTCTACTAGTAGGAGTCATATTGACATAAAAATCAAATTTCTCATGTCAAAAAACTCCCAAACACCAATTTTCATCCAAATATTGATGTTACTTCCAAAAATATTTGAAAAAAATCGAAATAAAAATGAAACTTCTACACCCTGTATCTCCGAAACTAACTATTTTAGGACATACATTTATACGAATATTTTTACTTATTTTTATCTGCAGAATATGCTGCCGATGTTTCCGGAATACAGTTCGGACCACCCTGTATATAGATGGCGCCGTTTTTTTATCGTACATGAAGTAAACGAGTCTCGAAAATACAGTAAAAATATAGCAAAGATTTTAGTAAAATTTACTAACAGAACGGAATAAATACATTTTATATTGTAAATATTCCAAAACGTTTAGTAAAATTTGCTAAAATATTGTAATTTTTACTAAATTTTCGAAACTCGTTTTCTCCGTGATACGGTATAATTATTGAACAGTGTTAGTTATAATTATAAATACAAATTAGTGTTTTTTGGTTTGAGTTATTATTATTAATTTTAGGTAGCTATGCCCCTGTAAAACAAAATTTAAAATTAAAAAAATAAAATAAAAAAAAGTTTGAAATGGCTTAGAAATTGTAAATTTTAATAAAAATCCCTAATCAGTTTTAACAATAAGCTGAACAGACTTCTAACAAATGCCGAGTCAATATGCTGTTCCAATGCTGGTCGGATCTCGAAGTGGTAGTTTAGGGTATGACGTTGTTCTCTTGGGACTGAATATGAGACTATTTACACTATTTATAAAAATGTTTAAATAAAAAAAGTAATACAAGATTGTGAAGATACTGTTAGAGGATATTCATTAATATGAACTCACACTTGGTCATGGACTTGTCTAATTAGTTATATCTTATCATTACTATCTATTTAAAAAATGTTAAATGTTTTATAGAATTTAGTTATTTTATAATCATTCGATAATTAATTGATAGTATAAAAATTATTTCGTGGGTGATAACATTTTATTACATTATTAAAATGGTAAGAAGTGTTTTTAATAGTAAGAAGTGTTTTTTAATATAATTAGTGGTATAAGCACAGATAACACATAATCCATATGGCTATTGCTTACGGAACAGCATGTTTTCGATGAGACAGTTCCCTATTAATGACACAGAGGGCGCCTATAGCCAAATCTAATAATATCACAGATAACACATAATCCAGATGGCTCCTTACGTGTTAAAAATTGTCACCCTAATTTCACTCCAATTTGGAAAAATATTGGAGTGACATTTGAATAATCTGAAATTTTTAGATTTCTTTTCTCACTTTTTTGGGAGGTTTTGCTTCTCTTGCACAGATGCCGTTTGCACTTCAGTTGCGTGGTTGCCAAACGTTATATCGAAATATATTTCATTTCATTATGAATATATAAAATTAAAGGTAGACCAAATTAAAAATTATGTAATTTATAAACATGAAGGTAAAGGTGTGGATCCGGTGGCTGACCTTGAAGCCCATATTTGCTGCTTTTGGTCATAGATACTACGCAAGCGCACATCGTCGATGTTGCCAAATTGCAGTTTATTTTCGAATTATTTGCAGTTGAAATTTTTTTTTGCGTGTTAATCAATAATAATACAAATTCTATAATTTCAGATTTATCTTGATATCCAAAATTAAGGTAAGAAGGATAATGAAGATTGTGAAATGAAAGTATTATAATATATAAAATTGTAAAATAATAACATTTATTTATATGTTTACATTAGAATTAAAATTTATCATTTACGGATTTTTTCTTAATGGTTTTAAACTTATTAGAATTATTTTATTTCTTTCAAGTTATTTAATTTCTAGTTATTTACAGGCAACAATATTTTTGATTATATGCATGTATTGATGTTTTGAAGTACTACCATGACGGGTCTTATTATAGAACAATAAACGTCAATCGGAGATAGAGGTAACATTTTACCTATTATATAATGTTACTAATATAATATACTTTGATTATAATTAATGTTTGTATCATAATTTCTTAAAAATATCAAGCATAGATATCAAGTTAGTGGATTTTATCGAAGAGTGTGTTGATAAGACTAAAATAAGCTTTATGTTTTATCTTTTTCTCTTTAGAAGGGAGATGGTTTGTATCGTAAAATACATTACAGTATTTAATATCGTGTACTTTGTTATTCTTTTCTTAATTTACTGTAATTTCTTGTTTCCTATAATGCCAAATCTTGACAATATGGTGAAGGTTGAGTTTTGATCTTATTAGTTTTATAAGAATAATAATAATAATAGAAATACAAGACTAAATTAAGACTTAGTTTGTGATTTATATTAAGATCTTTCTTATAATATTTGTTATGTCTTCATCTTAATACTATATTATGCTTGGTCTGGAAAATAAATGTTAAAATATCTTAATTTTGCATATCCTATTCATCCTTCCATTAGGAAAAATATGGTTTATAAATCATATATGCTAAGAAAATCACATAAATTAGGTGTAAGAATAGAGAAATCTTAATGTAGCAGAAAAATTAATGCAATATATGTATAGGCAGAATTAAACAAGGTATAACTGTTAATGTTGCTGAAGCTGATTCTACAATTTTAATTACGGAGGCTAAAAGGCCTTTTAAGGCCTCCGTAGTTTTGATGGAATGTTAAAAAAAATCTATTATGAACATAACATGGAGCTACAGCATTTAAAAATTACAAAAAAAAGAAAAAATTTGGACACATCTCTTTTAATTTCCCGAATTTTTAATAAAGCACTTTTTAAACGTAGCATAATAATCTAGATAGGAATCTAGAGTTTTATTTCTATATAATTTTATTGACTGAAAATACATAATAAGCGTTCATGTGTTGTGCGAAATATTAAAATAATATACCGCGTACTATGATTGATAAAAAAAATAGCGTCAGCAATGACTATGAAATGAAGATCGCTGTCATTTTATGGAAATGTCCTCAATCGTCATTTCCCAGACAACTGGACGCCGTTTTTTCGATCATACGGTATATATTGACAAAAAAACACTGAAAAGCACATATTTGTTTTCTACTGAAAATAATTCCAAAATAATTCACAATCTGGCAACATCGAAGATGTGCGCATGCGTAGTGTCTGTGATTATATGCAGCAAAAACTCGTTTCAAGGTCAGCCACCGGATCCACACCATTACCAACATGGAATAGATATGTTAAATTAATATATAAATATTTAACTTAATACGTTCATTATTATTTTATTAATTTATCGTCACACGTCATTTACCAGTTGCCTAATTACGAAAAGTTTCATATGACATTAACCTCAAAAATGATCTTTGAAAACAAACAACAACAAACAGAGCAACAAATGAACAAATAACTACATAATGACTGATAATGATAAGTGATAAAAATAACTTTAATGATATGAAGGCTGATGAAGGTAATTATAAACATTATTTTGAGTTTGTTTAATAAAATATAGGATACTATATATAACTAAGCAAAATCAAACAGTTTTAGACAACCAATACAAGATTTAGAACTTGACATCGTGATAAACAAATTGTACATTCAGCAACTCGTTTAAATATTATAGGTAAGTAATATTTTCACAAAACTAAACATTTTAGCATAAAATCACAGAAAATATATAGAATATTACCTATGATAAAATGTTAAATACTGATGTATATTTATTCTAATCACATTTAAATTTAAACTCAAAATTTTCATAAAAAGAAAATGATAATTTTTCGTAAATATAAAGTAAATAATATTACATATTTCAGGTTGATTGACGAATACTCTACAGTTGATTAGAGCCCATGATGATGCGAAGATAATTAATATCACCTAACTTCAAGAAACCAGCGTAAAGAAGTTTACATTCACAACTCATCTAACCATTATAGGTAATAATTTACAAAATTAGTCATTTTTGATTATAATATTAAGGTACTTAGGTACATTTTTATCTTCTAGATCAGTAATGTCGTCATAATTTAAATGAACTCACAGATAGCAATGGGGCACTGCACCGAAGCAGTATTACAAAATATGTGAAATAAAACTGTAATACAAATTGCTCTATAAAATTTAATAGAAATAAATTTATTTATGAAAATTAAGTTATGAAGTTTTATTTTTCCTAGGAAAAAAATAACATTTATATTTTGATCAATTTAGAACATTACAGTTAAAAAAATATGTGTTAGAATAACATATTTTTAATAAAATTGCAGCTTTTAATTTTTATACTTTTTTGCTTTTATATCAATAAGAACTAACGTAAGGAACAATTCATATTTATACTATGAAAACACATGCATATTTTTTGATGTTTTTAAAACCAGTGAATGATGTTGAAATATACTACACCTATTATTCTTATTAACTAACTTTAATTACAAACTTACACATTATTGTCATTGGAAATAAATTAATTTGGATATTCTATTTGTTTAGAAACTTTTTTACCTATTGTAGTTTTTTTAAAACCTACTTGATTTAAAACAAAAAAATGTCACCTGTTGTGACAAAATAAGGTCTTTTTTACTAGAAAACAATCTAGTGAGCTTTTCTAATAATACTTTATTTGATATACCATATGATCGAAAAAACGGCGTCAGCGATGGCTATGAAATGAAGATCGCTGTCATTTTAAATGTAAATTTATATGGGAAATGTCATCGATTGCCATTTCCCAGCCAACTGGACGCCGTTTTTTTTTTTCGATCATACGGTATAATATGTATTCCCATCTGTTAATCTTTTTATTTTAAGGAAGATTTAGGAAGGGTAGCTTAAAACATGTTTGTCAATCAATTATCTTTATATGTCGTTTGTAAAAATATTTTACAGTACTAGAAAATAAAACTGTTTTTAAGGCGAACAGCTTCTTTGCTAAAATATTTTTTTGGTCCCAACACATAATGATTTACATTTTTTTTTAACTTCAAATAATGAATTTAATTTTGTCGATTTTGGCAACGTTGGCACGAAGTGAAGCAGAATTAAAGTTTAATCGCAGTGTAAAATTTTAAGTTTTTTAGTGTTCCTAGTTGAAGAAAATTAGAAAAAATTGTCGAAGATAGTCTACAAAAGTAAGCCTTTAACCCTTAAATATAAAAGTGCTTATCTATAACCGTCAAATATCCTTAAAAGTAAAATTTTGGTATAAAAAGCCACGCCGCGTTCAATACCTTTTGGACTTTGAACCATCACACGTCCATTATAATAATACATATTTGACCCAGTTTTTGGACTACAGCGGCTCGACGTTGCCAAGTGCAAAAAACATTCTTTTTGACTAGGATATATCCTGATATTTTCTTAAATAATGGTTGATACGGTAATGTTCAAACAATTCGAAGAGATAAAATTCTTGATACAAAACAGCAAACAAGAGCTAAGAGAAGATATTAAATCAGTCAGAGAAGATTTAGCGATACAAACAGAAACTTTAAAAGAGAACATTACTGTATTAGAAAGTAAACTCAACGACTTGGAAAGCAGGGTTCAAATAATAGAAAAACTAGCTAGAAAGAATAATCTAATAATCTTTGGCCTACGGAACAATCGAAATTTAAAAGACATTGAGCTAGCTGCCTGGGTAATAGAGCAATTAAAAACTCTTTTAGGAATAGATGTATATTTAAGTGACATAAATAATATATATTATCTAGGTAACGACTCAAACAAGCCTTTGCGTATAGAACTTAACACATATTTAAAAAAAGTTTTAATACTCAAAAACGCTTATAAATTGAAGGGTAAACAGATTTTTATAAACCACGATCTTTCCAAAAAAGAGAGAGTGGTGAATAAAGTATTGAATGAGAACTTAAAAGAGGCTAAGAAGAAAGGTTTGAGAGCGTACGTAAAGAAAGAAACCCTTATAATCGGCAACGAGAGTTTTAGCTACGAACAGCTAGTGGAGAGAGGGCATAAAGAAAACGACTCAGACAACGAAGTATTTACTGACGTTCCATCAAGACCTTCCTTGAGTGCCCCGGGTACACCTGTATTCGATCTACCAGTTCAATCTAGTGGTATCGAGCGCAACAAGCTAGAATCAAACCATCCCTTATCCAGGCCAAACAATACAATTGAATTCACCGTTGTTTCAAGGACATCCAGTGCGGAAGCGCGAAGGGGTTCAAATAGTAATACAGCATCTCTACAATCATCCAGTAAGGTACAAAGACCGGCAACTAGGAGCCACCCGAAACCTTAGTATAGTAATCAGAAGATCCATCTAGTGAAAAAAATGACAAATGTGCGTGAAGAGGTAACATTCTAGTTAAAGATATCTAGTGTTAGAAGTGTGTTTTAGTGTTAAAAATGGACTCATACATAAGAGATTTTCAAGTTAAGGATATAGAGACAGAAACAATTAGTGATTTTAATAATTTTAGATCTAGATATTCAATTAATCTAAAAAACGACTTTAAATGTATACATTGTAATATTAGCAGTTTAGGGAAAAATTTTGATAATTTTAGAATATTTTTGGAGACGCTCAGCCTAGAATTTGACGTAATTATTCTTACGGAAACTTATAAACAATATGATATTTCTAATAGTCCATTCCAAATAAAAAATTATGACCTAATTTATAATGAAGGTCAATTGAATAAAAATGACGGAGTTGTTGTTTATATAAAATCGGAATTTAATTATAAACATTCTATAGTTTCTTTAGGTAATACAAAGATATTAGAATTAATTATTAAATATAAAAACATCGAAAATATTTTGTATATCTGCTATTTATAAGTCTCTAGTTTAACGAATTAGATTTTATTACAAGCCTTGAGAGGTATCTTTCTCAAAAAAAGAAGTTACACTCACACATTTTAGTTGGTGATATAAATATTAATTTAGTTGATGAAAAAGATTATGTAGAACACTATAAAAATATAATGGCATCTTTTAACTTCAACTCATACATTAATAAGATAACTAGACCAAGATCCGGTACATGCATTGATCATTTCTTTGTAAAATGTTCAACGGAAATATCAAGGAGAATAAAATCTTTTATTTTTGAACATGATATAACAGATCACTATCCAATTGCTATATCTCTACCTATAGAAGTAAACAAACCGAAAAATAACCTATGTAAATCTAAATACTATACCAATTACACATTATTAAAAGAAGATCTCCGGAAGGAATCCTGGAATGATATATATACAGAAAATAATTCAAACAAAGCTTTTCAGATTTTTATGCGAAAATTAACATTGTATATCGACAAAAATAATAAAAAAGTTGAAATTAAAAGGTCTAAAAACACTCATTTTATAAAAGAGTGGATGACTTCTGGGCTTCTTAAGTCAATAAATATAAAGAATAAATTATATAATAAATTAAAACTACATCCGACAAATCAAGAATTAAAAGACAACTATAATAATTATAAGAATAAAATTAGGTCACTAATAACAACTGCAAAGAAAAATTACATAAAAAGAGAATTTAACAAAAACAAAGAGACATCTTCTTCTCTATGGAAGTGTATAAATAAAATATGTGGTAAAACACAAAAAAATAAAGATATAAATACAATTAAAACCGAAGAAGGTCACGTATATACTGATAAATTAAAGATAGCTAATGCGTTAAATGATCATTATTGTAACTGTCGCAGAAAAACTAGCGGTTAAAATATCTTCAACAAATAATACCTGTGATATAAACCGTCTGGAAAACAGTCTGTATTTACGTCAAACTTGCGAAGACGAAATAATAAACATAATAAAAAATCTGAAAAATAAAAAGCTCCTGGTTTGACAATATTAGCTCGGATATTATTAAAATAATTTCGGGAGATATATCAAAGCCTTTAACGTTTTTGATAAATTATTGTATCGAAAGTGGTTGTTTTCCGGACTGTCTTAAAGTAGGTGTAATTAAACCATTATATAAAGGGGGTGATAAGGAGCATATAGGCAATTATAGACCGATATCTATATTATCAGTTTTTTCTAAAATTTTTGAAACAGTTATAAAAAAACGCTTGTTAAAATTCTTTCTAAAATTTAACATAATATCAAAAAATCAATTTGGTTTTTTAGAAGGCAAATCAACACAGGATGCCGTTCATGCATTGACATCATCAATCTATGATGCTCTAGACTCGGGACATCGAAGCCTCTGTATATTCGTAGATCTCGCTAAAGCATTTGATACGGTAAATCACAAAATACTTTTAGACAAATTAGAGAGATATGGAATACGAGGAAACAGCCTTAGTATTTTAAAAAGTTACCTTAAGAACAGATCACAATATGTTAATTTGGGAGATATTAATAGCAAGCCAGGAAGGATTGAGCATGGTGTACCACAAGGCACTGTGTTGGGTCCGTTATTATTTGTTATTTATATTAATGATCTACTTACAATTAATACAAAAGCAGAAATTTTTAGCTACGCAGACGATACAGCGATATTTTATAAATCTAACTCTTGGTCGAATTTGAAAAGATTAGCAGAGGAAGACTTTCAGACAATTAATACCTGGTTTATCAAAAACAAATTAACATTAAACTATGACAAAACCAAATATATATCCTTCTCTATTTATAAAAATAATGAACCAGATTGGGACAGATTACAAATAACCAATAATAATGTAATACCGGAATGTGATTTTATAAAATATTTAGGGGTTACAATCGACAAACATCTTAAATGGAATATTCATATTAATAATGTAACTAAAAAATTGCGAGGATTGTTGCCGAAATTTAATTATTTGAAAAGTTTTTTGGACGTCAAACAGCTTAGAATCCTGTACTCATCCCTTGTACAATCTCATTTGACATATGGAATTCTAGGGTGGGGTGGTGCGGCTGAATGTCATTTAAAGAGCTTGTATTCTGTTCAAAAATGTTCATAAAAATTATTTACAATAAAAAGAAAACTTTCTCTTCAAACGTTCTCTTTAAGCAGGTGCATCTACTGGATATACGTCAGCTATACTGCCTAGATGTTTTAAAATTCATTTATCAGGGGAAAATATCTATTGAACATGTTGACCATGAATATGAAACTAGACATAATGCGTTTTATCCTAGTTTATGCTCTAAAACTGTTGGACAAAGATCTTCAAAGTTTTTTGCACCTCGATTATATAACATCTTACCAACCTTCCTAGAGGAAGTTAAAAGTTACTCTGGGTTTAAAAAAGGGGTATGCAAATGGATGGTTGATCGAGGTAGAGATATATTTAATGACCTAGTTAACTTAAAATATACAAAATAAATTTTCATAAGTGCCCCCAGTGAACATTATATATTGTCATAATTAAATTGTATTCCTTTCCACATACAAGTAATTCTATTACTTTGTGGTAATTCTTTTAACGTTTATTTTGATTCTTAAAATTTAAATATAGTCTTAGTTAAATTGTACCTAGATAATGTGTATTAGATATAGTAGCATAT